ACAACTTGGTGAGCACGTCCAGGACAGCATCTCTTAGCAGAAATATGTCAATTGGTATACCGTCTACTCCTGGGGCCTTATTTTTTGCTGTTTCTTTCAAAGCAGCTTGAACATCTTTCTTCATCACCATAGCCTTCAGAAATTCATTTTTTAATTGTTTTTTTAATTTAAATTTATTATTAATTTCAGTAAAAATTTACAGAGACTTTGGATTTCCATTCATTCATTGTTGCACATTTCTTCCCTCCCAACCCTCCCTCCTAATACACTACCCTCTTGGAAAAGTAGAAGAAAAATTCTTTCATTGATTTACAAACCCTCCCCCAGGTCCACTTCACCATGTAGCCTTCGCTCTAGACTCCTGTCATGACAAAAATACCTAATCACATATCCCTTTTAAACAGTTTCCCCCCTCATCTGTTTCAATGCAGTATACATTATTGAACCCATCTTTCTCAGTCACTCCCCAACCCCAGGGTCAGTCCTGCTTTACAACAGTGGCACCATGCAGTATTTGTCTTTTTGTGACTGAGATATTTCACTCAGCATAATGTCCTCCAGGGTCACCCATTTGAATAATATTGCATGAGTTCCTTGGTTTTCAATGCAGCATAGTATCGTATTGTGTGAATATACCAGAGCTTCTCTATCCATTTTTTGTTGATGGCCACTTAGGTTGTTTCCAACTCCTTGCTATTGTGAACAAAGCTGCAGTAAACATGGGTGTGCATAAATCTGCTTGGATCTCAGTTATGGTCTCTTTAGGGTATATTCCCAGTAGTGGAATTGCTGGGTCAAATGGTATCTCAATTTGCAACTTTTTGAGAAAGCGCCATACTGCCTTCCACAGTGGTTGCACCAAGAAATTAATTTTTAAATAGATGTCAGATGAGTAGATAGATGATTGTTTGTTGGTGACTGATTTTACATTGTGAGTTAACACTGATGACATTATCAGAAACTTGTTGCTATTAAAAGATAAAATAATTGTATTAGTATATACAGTTTATATTAAATGTGTAAATAGGGAACATTGGTGGCCGAGTGGTAAGAAACTGCACTGCAATACCAAAGGCATGTGGTTCGATTCCACTGGCTGCTTCATGGGATAAGAATGGGCAATCTCCTCCCTTGCAGTTAACTGCCTCTGAAAACCTGCTAGAGGGTCAGCAATAAGTCAGTTCTGAGTCAATGGTACACAACAACAACATACAATTTAAGGGGCAAAATTGTTTCAGCATGTAGAATACATTAAGATACCCATAATAAATAGAATCCCTTAGTAATTTAAAAGAATGAAAACCATTACTACTGCATAAAAATAAACTTTTATATTCTACAAAGCCTTCTGAAAATCCTAAGTCTTCTGAGTTATAATTTGCAGTGAAATGAAAGGCTTGATGCAGGAAATTATCAGACATTTATATAAAATCTTGTTATTGCCTTTATTGGAGAAAGTTGGAAAGAATTTTCTTTTGCTGCATGTAGTCCTGACTGACCAGAATGATGTCGTTTGCAGTTGTTGTTATGTGTTATTGAGTCAGAACTGAGTCATAGCTGACCATCCACTGAATTTTTAGAGACCATAAACCACAGGTGGGGAGATTGCCCTACTTTCTCCCACAGAGTGGCTGGTGGGTTTGAACTACTTGCCTTTGTGTTGCAGTTGACCTCCTTCCCCCTTGGTCACTAGGGCTCCCTTAGTTTGTTGTAGTGAAATAATTTTCCCTTTTAGAGCAAGTTCTCAAAAACTGTGTGTAAAAATTAAATTATAATTTCTCTTAACAGCTGTGACATCTTATGAATATCTTGGACTCTTTGCATTTAGATTACCTGGAAAGGTATTTCCCCCCACCCTCTCGTTGTGTCCAAAGCTAAAGCAGGCATTTCCCTCCCTTCTGTTTCAAGTTAAAAGGTACAAAAGAGAGAGAGAGAGAGATTGGCATAAAAGAACAACAAATGAAAAATGATAGAATGCTGACAGTAGAGAGAAGAAATCTCTGTAGGTATATGCTTATCCTAAAATTATATTAATAAATTCAAGTCAACATTTTGATATTTTAGTATATTTTGCTATATTCAAGGAGAGCAGTGACATAAATTGGCAATGACAGTGACCTATTTTGAATTTTTCCTGTTAACTTTGTGTTCTCTAAACAAAAACCCATCATGAATAGAAAAGCAGAAGCCCAGGTTTTCAAATTATACCATGTGTATTTATGAAATGTGTGATTAGTAGATCATTTAAAAGCTCAGCAATGCCGCTACTAGCTATCTAAATCATAAGGGAGAAAATTAAGGCCCAGAAAAATCAAGAAGCCTGTTTAAATTGTACTTAAAGCCAGTACAAATTCTAGGATTCCAGACTCTTAACTATTGCTTTTCCTGTTCAGAGTAAGAGAAATAATAGCAGTATTTGTTGAGCAGTCATTTGCAGTGAGCATATAAAACTAACTAAAGCCCACCTACTGCCTTATAGCAACTCCCCATTGGTTTCTGATGTTGTAAATCTTAGTCTGTGGAGTCCTGCTGAACAGCAGGTAGATTAGAACCACTGACCTTTTTGTTAGCAGTGTAACACATAATGCACTGCACTATCAGAACTACTTCACATTAACAACAGATTTTAACTGCTTGAGAGGCTTGGCCTTTGCGTTGGTAGCACAACTCCTTATCAAGCAGACCATCCAGGCTCACTAAGGAAAAGAAGCTGCAGACTCACTGCCATCGACTTGGTACTGACTTGTATCTGACCCATCAGACATTTTCAGATGCTGTAAACTGCACGAGAGGAGATTGCCCCTCTTTCTCCCCACAAGTAACTGGTGGATTTGAACTGCTTGCCAGTGCAATTCCCTACCCACTAGGCCACTAAAGCTAAGTAAAAACTTAGTCAGGTAATCAAGAGTTAAGCATTACTATTAGTACTGTATTTTTTTTAAAGAGCAATCATACTTCTAAAGTTCATATTTATTTTAGTTCTAAAGAAGACTTAATTATCTTTGAAAATCTGTGTGTATTTTTTTAATCTAAAATATTACTAGTAGATGGCTAAGGCAATACCTAAGAATTTACTATGAGAGGAAAAAGAACTAGTTAATAATTTAAAATAACTGCATTTATATTAAAATTATTATTTAAAATACAAAAAGGAATACCATGTAAACTCATGACTTGACTCTAATAACTAGAAACCTGAAGAAATTGATATGTGTGTTACCTGACAGTAAATGGCTTTTGTTAGTTTTTGCTGGTAACAATTTTTGGTTTCTTGAGTATCAGAATGTTTCATGAACTAAGTAATCGTTCAAAGAAGAAGAAAAATATTTAGGTAAGAAAATATTCCAATTAAAGTGATTGTCATTCTGTTGTTGCACATCAGTATTTCATCTACATTCCTTGTATAACTAACTACAAAGGTGGGAAGAGAATAGTATGGATTGTCGAAGGTCCCAATTTTCTTTAACTCCAGAGTAGTTGTGGTGTCATTTTGACATACGCAGTTTTAGAAGACAGGTTTGATAGTAAGAGGAAACTCTGCATGAGAAGTTGCTTACTTTTTTGCACTCTGTTTGCTTGCCTGCTTGTTTTATGGTTCCTCCTAACTTCCACAACTGGGCTGAAACCTTTCCTCTTCTCCCCCTTCTCCCCCTCCCCCAAGATAGATGATATTGATAGCATTGTTCGAGAATCAAGTGGTTTTTTTTAAGTGTTTGGAAAGGTCTAAGGAAGATTTCTTTTATAAGTATATTTATTTATTTTTTTACTCATCAAATCTTTATTGAGCAAATTCCATGTACTAGGTACAGGCTGGGTTTAGAAGGGGTCGTAGTACTAGGGATATTGTAGCTGATGTTAGATGGATCTTGGCTGAAAGCAGGGAATACCAGAGGAATATCTATCTGTGTTTCATTGACTATGCAAAGGCATTTGACTGTGTGGATCCTAAAAACTATGGCTGACTCTGAGAAGAATGGGAATCCCAGAACACTTGATCGTTCTAATGCGAAACCTATACTTGGACCAGGAGGCAGTCGTCAGAACAGAGCAAGGGAACACTGCATGGTTCAAAATTGGTAAGGGCGTATGCCAGGGATGCATTGTATCTCCATACCTTTTCAACCTATATGCAGAACAGATTATCCGGGAGGCTGGGCTCTATGAGGAGAAATGTGGGGTCAAAATTGGTGGACGATTTATCAACAATCTGCGTTATGCGGATGACACAACCCTGCTTGCTGAAACTGAAGAGGACCTGAAGCACCTGCTGCAGAGGGTCAAGGACTGCAGCCTCCAATATGGATTGAGGCTCAATGTCAAGAAGACAAAGATTCTCACCACTGGACCAATTGGCGGCATCAGAATGCATGGTGAAGAGATTGAGATTGTACACAGCTTTAGTTTGCTTGTCTCCACAGTCAACAGTCTTGGCACCAGCAGCCAGGAAATTAAAAGGCGCATTGCCATGGGAAAGTCTGCTGTTAGGGACCTCTCCACAGTACTGGAGAGCAATGATGTCTCTCTGGAGACTAAGGTGCATCTGATACAGGCCATGGTCTTTGCAGTCACTTGTTATGCATCAGAGAGTTGGACAATGACCAAGGAGGATAGAAGGAGAATTGATGCCTTTGAGCTATGGTGCTGGAGAAGAGTATTAAGAATACCATGGACTGCTAGGAAAACAAACAGATTTGTCCTGGAAAGGGTTAAACCGGGTAGCTCCTTGGAGGCAAGGATTCTGAGGCTCCGTCTAATATACTTTGGACATGTTGTGAGGAGAGACCGGTCCTTGGAGAAGGACATCATGCTTGGGAGGGTTGAGGGACAGCGCAGGAGGGGAAGGCCCTCTATGAGGTGGATTGATTCAGTGACTGGGATAATTGGGATGGGAGTGTCAGAGACAGTGTGATTGGCACAGGACAGAGCGGAGTTTAGGGCTGTTGTACATAGGGTCGCTATGAGTCGCAAGCAACTCAACGGCACATAACAACAACAACAGGCACTGAAGACAAAGGTTTATAGATCAATCAAAAAAAATACCTTGACTTTCTAAATCTTAAATGCCTAAATTCAAGTACTGGAAAGGAAATTATCTCCTCAAACACAAAACTCACTCTCTGTCACTTGAATTCTGACCCATCGTGAGCCTTCATTGGGTTTCCCAGGCTGTAAAATGAAATGGAAAAAGACAACCCATTGTTCTCCCATAGAGCAACTAATAGATTTGAGCTGCTAAAGACATGCAGCATTTAGGTTAGCAATACAGCATGACATTATGTGCCTTTAACTTCACCAACCTGATTTTGCAAAGAAAAGAAGATCCTGGATGAGATAGATTGACTCAGTGACTGGGGTAATGGAGTAGGTTTGTCAGTGATGATGAAATTGACTCAGGATAGAGCAGGGTTCAGAGCTGTTATACATAGATAGGGTCACTATGAGTGAAAAGTCCACTCGACGGCACATATTAACAGTAGGGGGAATACCACAAATTTCATTTATTACTTGTAATAGATATCTATTTCCTGTGAGAAAGCGTGCAGGCATTTCTGGGCTATGAATGGCATTTCTTCTTGAGTATCTTTTAAGTCCAACTTGTAGGTAAGTTGTAACAGGTACATAAAGTTCTTGTTTAGCATTATTATAGTACAAGAAAGGACTGAAAACCTTTTCAGTGATTTAAAAGCTGCATGTGTAGCAAATGAGGGTGATTGTAATGAATATGTTGAGAGCATGGATTAACCTGTCATTTGAAAGTGAGGGCAAATTTGTGTACATTAAAAAGCAAGAATTATCTGTAAATCAGATTGTAACCCAAATGCCTGGGTACAAAAGTTCAAAACACTCTTTTCACAGATATCCATGACATGCTATGACTGTTTGTTTGTTTTTAAATATTATGCTAGTTTATTTATAGAATTCGAATACATTGTTTTTCACACCAGATTCTTCCAATTTCCCTTACCTCCCCACCCATCAAATTGTACAACACCTTGATGAATACCCCCCCACATCTTCATCCCTCTGTTTCCAGCCCCCCTTGGATGCTCATACACATTCTACAATAATGATTGTATACAATATTTGTCCTTGTGGGACTGAGTTAGTTCACTTAGCATAATGTTCTCCAGTCCTTCCCAAGTTAGTAATTTACAGAATCATTGCTCCTGCGTGCTATGTATAAATGTTCCCTAATTTCTCAATCTTTAAGAGGGTTTATATGCAGAGTTCTTTCTGGAATATGTTAATGTCAATCCCTGTATCTTCAGAGAATCCTTGTCAGATTTTCAGTCCCTAAGGCCTCTAGGTCCAGATAACTTAAATTGTTTCCAAAATAAGCAAGTTTTCTGCTGCTAGAATTCATGGGAGAGATGAGCCTGGTAGATGAGATGAGCCTGTCTTCGTAGGCCTGACTGGTCCTTGAGAGCTGGTCCCTCACACATACACTGGCAGATGCAGATCAACAAAGATTTGAATGATTGAAAGGCCTAAGTAGAAGCAGCATGTTCCCTTGAGTACCTCTGATTACAAGAATAGACAGAGGACTAGCTTGAGTTTCCTAGGATTCTCAGTCAAAGATCATGAGCTAGCAGGTCTGCAAACTGAGTGAGCTTAGTCATCAGGCATATTTTGATTGGCTCAAATCTCTGCTTATTCTTAACTGGCCAGTAAACTTCAAAAGAATCCAAAGTTTTACTTTCTTGGAAAAAATCATAAGATCTAGCTGTACTGGTTCCATATCCTCATATGCTAGCAGCTGTTGAGAGTTGAATAGCAGCTGCCCTGTTTTGAATGCAGAGGAGGCCTCCAGTACATTTCAGTTCTTCTCTCATTGCCATTGAGTTGAAACCAACTAATAGGAAGCCTTCCATTTGCTTTCCAAGGCTGTAAATTGGCTAGGAGGAGATTGCACGTCTTCCTCCCACAGCTAGTGGGTTTGAACTTCCAGAGATTCATAGCATTGGGATTAGCAACACAGCTCCCTAAGAACTGTGCCACCAGAGCTCCCTATTACAGTCCTTGCTGCTTGCTCTTTTGTTATATTTAGCTGAACTTTATTTGGTGTGAAATGTTTTCCCTAAATTTTCTGAATCCATGAGTTTTGAGATTCTAGAGTTTTCGCTTCTAGGTTTTATTAATCCCTAACAGAAGGATGCTCAAAGGCTTGGTGTGTGCCAAACTGATACACTCTGAAGACCGCATCATTTCCTTTTAAGTAAAACAGCTTTAGTGTAGCACACTCCAAAGTGTCTCAATACACTTATAAAAGAATTGTGGTAAAACCAGCAAGAAAGGAAAAATGAGACCAGATAGATTTAATTTCATTTTTTCCTGTGATAATCTATCCATTTCTAGCTTTTAACACCCTTACATGCTTAAAAATGACTGCCAAGACAACTTTCAGAAATGTTCTTTATAGCAACACTGGAACTATTAAGAAAGGCTTTTTTATGTGATGATTATTAATTTTATGTATTATGGCCGGCAAATCTATTTTTTCTCATTTCTCCTCATTCCTGACTTCTGCATTTATTTTTTAGTAATAGATTTTGGACTTTAACAAAATAATGATCCTTTTGTATTACTTTCTCTTTCATTTTCTGAGTACATTTGTTCTTTTGCAGGTGGTGGTGGCAGGCACCATAATAATTCAAAATATTGGAGGTAAGCAATGGCAGATGCACTGCTTATGCATAGATAGATGATCTTCTTGTCTGGAGTTTGCCTCTTAATTTCTTGTCTTAATACAAGACTAAGATGGAACTTGAATTACTGCGAGCATAGTAGCTTCAGAAGCGTTATTACTTTTTTTAAAAAAAAATCTATTTTAATGACCATTGTGGTGATAACTTCTAAATGAATTTCCAGAGAAACCCTTGCTTTCTGGTAGTGCTTCAGTCTTATCACTAGGTCTTCAACACACTTCAAAAACTTTGATTATGAAAGTTGTGGGCTATAGTTTAGAAAAACTGTCTTAAGTGATTCTAACACATTCGCCTCTCTTTTTGCTCCCTCTGCCTGCAGTGCAAATACTACTTTAGTTGGAGTGACTTCAGTTCCTCTGTAAAATTGCTGAGAGTGGAATGGAAAGCAGGGAGCTTAGGGTTGCCTCTTAATCTAAACTTAAAACCCTTACTTAGCACTTTGGGAAGCATAGTAATTCTTTTAGGGTATTAAGGTATCATTAGTACAGGAGAGTTAAATGGAAGAATTTTATTTGGTTCAAAAAATGATCTTTCTCTTTCCAGTAAGGAAATGGCACAGGTGGAGGGGGCCCTGCTCTCCGCTCCGTCGTTCCTGCAGCCTCAGGAGGTCTCCCACCTCCAGTCTTGCCAGCATGCTGGCCCCTGGCAGGCTTAGGCTCCATGGAGCAGAGAGGCACCGCACAGCCCTGGCTGGGCAGGACAAGGAGGCACTTGACTGGCCCAGCCCAGTGGGGTCTCCTGGCTGCTTCAGCTGTGGCCTCAACTGGTCCTGTCACCGTGGCCACAATTATTAAAGTGCCATTTCCTGTCTGGGAAAAAAAAAATGATCTTTCTAAGGTATCTAACAAATTGCCCTTAAGGCCACTGTCAATGTCATTCTTTATTACTAGGAAAAGGAGTAAACCTCAATTGCCAGGACTACCCCTAAATCACTTTCTGAGTGTCTATGTAGGAACTCCTACGAAAGAATTTTTTAAATATAGAGTTTTTATTTTATACTGTTTTGCTTACAAAGAAGAAAAAATGTCTTGATTACAAATTACATCTATAGAATTACCAAAGACTTACTACTAATAAACCATATATGCTTGAAAGAAAAATAAACAAAACACTCCTCATTTCCATCTAATCAAACCAACTTATATCTGCCCTTGGCATGAGTTTTCAGAGGCTATGAATCTCATGGGAGATGATTTCCCATCTTTCTCTCAAGGAGCTACTGGTGGATTCAAACTGCCATGGAGGCATAGACTGCACCATGAGAGCTCCCCTTCTTGAGAAAAAACCAGAAGACATATTTGCGAGAGTCTTTAATATGCTGTGGTGGTGGTGGTGGTGGTTGTTAGAAGCCTTCAAGTCAAGTATGACTTATAGCGACCCTATGAACAAAAGATCTGAATGCTGTTCCTGTGCCATCCTCACACTTCCTGACACACGAGCCCATTGTGGCAGTCACCGCATCAGTCCACCCAGTTGAGGGTCTTCCTCTCCTTCACTGACCCTCTACCCTTCCAAGCATCATGTCCTTCTCCAAGGAATAGCCCCTCCTAGCAACACACCCCAAGTATGTGAGGCAAAGCCTCATCATTCTTGCCTCCAGAGAGCACTCCAGCTACACCCTCTCAAGACTTATCTGTTTGTTCTCTTGACCGTCCATGGGATGTTAAGTGCTCTTGTCCAACACCACAGCTCAGAGCCGTCAATTCTTTTCCTGATTAGGACTTTTGAAATATTACTTCTTCGAAGTGGATTTAGTTCTTTTAAATATTTTTTTTATATTTACAAGACCGTAAGAAGTGCACCCTCTCTTTATTTATTATGGTTAGATTCCAAAGATCAGGTCATTATGTGAAAATGAGGATTATATGAATAGAGGGTGACTGTATTATTATGTAACTACCAGATTACATCATTGTGATAATTTCCAAATGTCTGATGATCATGGCCCCACCAAGGTGTCACATAACCTTCACCATTGCAGTGTATTGCTTCTGCTCCACATGTAAGCATTTATTACTGCCAGATGTACTTAATTAATGTGCAAAATGGTCATATTGTAGATTTTTTGGCTATCATTGTAAATGTGAAATATCTAATGACAGTATAGTTAATAAGTGATGAGTGTTTAGCATCACGTTGAATTTTTGTATTTCTCAATGCATGTGTGTAAAATGTGTTCAGAGAGCATTTTCTGAAAGATAGGATTCTCAATATTAGTGTAAATGGTCTGAGTTTTTTTGCAATGGCAGCCTAGAATGGAAACATAATAGGAAGATCCTATTCTGGTCATACATTCTACTTGTTGTAATTAGATGCATCTAATCAGCTCCAGATCATAGCAACTCTGTATGCAACAGAACAAAACCCTGCCAGATCTTGCGCCGTACTCACAGTTTCTGCTCTGCTTACATCAGTTGTTGCATTTACAGTCTATTCTGTTTAGAGAAGATATTTCTCTTCTTTGCTGACCCTAATAAGTATTCATTACTCCAGAGACTGACCACTCCTTATACTGTACCCAAAGTATGTGAGATGAAGTCTCATCATCCTTGCTGTTAAGGAACATCCTGACTGCACTTTTCCCAAGACAGATTAGATTCTTTTGGTGACCCATCCATTATTCAGAATTCCTCCGCAACACCACAATTCAAAGGTATCAGTTCCTTTTTGGTCTCCCTTATTCATTGTCCAACTTTCATATGCATATGAGATGATTAAAAATACTATGGCTTGAGTCAGGTATACCTTGTCTTTGAAGGGACTTCCTTGCTCTTTAGCACTTTAAAGAGGTCCATGGCATGAGATTTGCCTATTGCAATACATCATTTGATTTCTTGGCTGCTGCCTTCATGGATATCAATTGTAGATCTAAGTGAAATAAAGTCTGTGACAACTTTTATCTTCCGCATTTATCATGATGATGTTTATTGATCGAGTTATGAAATTTTTGTTTTATTTGTTGTCCATATTGAAATTTGTAGTCTTTGAGCTTAATCTGTAGGTGCTTCAAATCTTGATATTTTTACCATAAGTAAACATTCTATAAAGGTTTTAAATACCCTTATTTAGCCATCATAACAATCCTTCAAGGTAGAAAATAGAGCATTTTACCAGTGTTCAAAGAAATGTTGAACACCATTGGGTTGTTTCCAACTTATAATGACTCTTTGTACAACAGAAAAAAAATTATTATCCTGTCCTGTGCCATCTGATTCTAACGTTGTCCTGCATATCTAATTCTAAAGTCTTTTTTTATTTTTTCAAGTATTGTAAATATTTGAAAAGTTGGAAGTTGTTTAAATGTTGAGAATTTGTAGAATTTCAAGGGCACAAAACTGAGTCTTCATTTGTTTCCTAACTTAGTTTCTGGGTAGAGGAAATTAATAAATAATATTTGTTGGATGAGTGAGACAGTTTAACAGGCTTGACTTAAACCCAAAATTTTACTTCAAAGAAACAATTTTATATGTTAATATAAATGATAGGCACTTGCAAGTCTTTAGAATAATTTACAGTTTAGAATTGCATATTGTCCTCAGTGTAAGACATGTTTAAGTTAGGATGATCTACACCTGAGTCTGACGATTCTTTAGTTTGCATACATACAATATTACAGTGCATAAAAAAAAAAAGAAACCCAACAAAAAAAACCCCATCATAGGAAACTCTCACTAATTTTCTGATCAGAAATGGCATCTCCTGTCCCAGGAATAGAATACTTCAGAAAATATCTTCTAGAACCTCCCACCAGTAGATGTGTTACCACAACTGACAAAATATCAACATAGTCCTTATTTTATATACATAGGTATATATGTGTTATATATTATATGTAGTGTCTTGGTTGCATAGTACATAATTGAGCTGCTAACCAAAAGGATAGTGGTTCAGATAAACCAAAAGAAAGATGGTCAGTCTTCTTCCATGCAATCTATAGCTTCTGGGAAATTGCTGAAAGGTCAGCTGAGTCAGTTCCACCTTGACGGCAATGAGTAGTAGTACTTCCAGCTGACTACCACTCATAGCTACCCTATGAGCAACAGATCTGAACCTTGCCCTATCCCGTGCCATCCTCCTGAGCCAGATAGGCTCTGCCTGTTGTCATAGTTACTATGTCTGTCCATTTTGTCAAGGATCTTCCTCTCTACCTCTCAATCTCTACCTTTCCCAGAATGATGTCTCTTTTCAAGGATTGACCCCTCCTGACAATATGCCCAAAGCATGTGAGACAAAGATTCACCATCTTTGCCTTTAAGGAGCCCCCTGGTTACACTTCCTCCAAGACACATTTGTTTTTTTGGCAGTTTATGATGCATTCATTACTCTTCTCCAGTGCCACAGTTCAAAGGCATTGATTCTTCTGCCATCTTTATTCATTGTCTAACTTACAGATGCCTAGGAAGCAACTAAAAATACTGTGGTTTGAACAGTGCACTTTAGTCTTATACTGACTTTCTTACTTTTAAAGTACTCTGGAGAGGTCCTTGAGAGCTGATTTTCCCAATTCAACACATCTTTTGACTTCTTCAGTGCCAATACTCTTTTTTAAAAATTCTCTGCTTTCAGCTAAGATCCATCTGACATCAGGAACAATATTGTATATTCCTCGTAGACCAAGAACAGAGCAAGGGAACATTACATGGTTTTAAATCAGAAAAAGGTTGCATCTGGCTTGTATCCTTTCTACAGACCTATTAATTCTGTATTCTGAGCAATTCATTCAAGAAACTGAACTATATGAGGAAATATGTGGTATCTGGATTGGAGGAAGACTCATCAAGAGCCTGCATAATGAAGGTGATATAACCTTGCATTCCAAAAGTGAAGAGAACTTGAAGCACTTGCTGCAGAAGTTCAAAATCTACAACCAACAATATAGGTTATATCTCAACATTTAAAAAACAGAAAACCCTTCAGTACTGAAAAAGTAGGCCATATCATGATAGATAAATGATTGAA